TTTGGCCTGGAACTCACTGTGTAGACCAGGCTGGCCTTGAACTCACTGAGATCTGCCTGCCTCTGCCTCCGGAGTGCTGGGATTAAAGGCATGTGCCACCACACCTGGCCTCTTCTCTTTTTTTGAGACAGAGTCTCCCTGTAGCCCTAGCTAGCCTAGAACTCACTATGTAGACCAGGCCAGCCTCAGTCTCACAGAAATCCATCTGCGTTCGGCTCCTCCCAAGTGTTGGGCTTAGAGGCATGTGCCTCCATGCCTAAAGTCATGGAGCACCACACTTGGCTTTTTCTTTTTTGAGGCAGGATCTCACATAATCCAGGCTGACTCCAAACTCCCTATGTAATCAAGGATGGTCTTGTTCCTCCTGCTCCTATTCCTAGGTGACAGGATCAAAGGCATCAGCCTGCTTATGGCTTTGCTACTCTCTGACAAGAGAGACCTTCCTACAAGTGTCTAGTGATCCACACTTAACTTGCAGTGTCACCTTTCTCCTCAGCTGGAATTACACTTCAAGGACAAGGCAGGGTTCCTTACCCAGAATGCCTGAATTAACAAAATGTACCAAGCTGAAATATTCAAGCAAATCATTCTGGATGGGGGTCCCAGAGATCAGCACCCGCCGACTGGTATTCAAACTGTTCAGTGCTTGGTAAGTCTGATTCTCAGAGTTCTTGAGCCTGTGCCCCTGCAAGAGAATTCTCACTTAGAATAAGATATGGTATCCTCAAATGGTAACAAAGTCCAGTACAGATAAGAAGAGTTGCAAACATTACAGGTTCTAAAGCAGTAGGAGCTCAGCAGAACTAGCATGAGTTTCTTCACCCACTTGCCTGGATAGAAATATTAGGCTCATGAGGCAGACCTTTAGTTTCCAGACCAGTGCTATAGCCATAAAACAAGGATTCCCTCTGTTCCCTCCCACACTTCCACAGCCCAACCTCCAGAACCTTACTAGATCACCAATCCTTCTCACTTCATGTGGCCATGTTACAGACCCATGCTTTCAGGGCCCTCCTTCCCAGCCCATGCAGTCCTGAACCTTCAGAGCAAGATGCCTTCTTTATCAGCCTCCAGGCCTTGTTTGAGCCATGAGTGCTAAAAGGACTTGGCTGTGCTCCTCCTTCAGGCAGAATCCACACATAGCTAATAGAGATCTTCTCTTCACAGCTCTTCTAACCTGTTCTCCCTGCACATTCCTTTGTAACTTTTAAACCATTTTCAAGAAGATGGTAAAGGACTCTACCACTTCCCTCTTTTTCCAGGAACTACATGGACAAGATCAGGTCATGCCTTTTATATATCTAGCATCCTCTCAGCTCCATGCTAGGCAAGCCACAAAAAACTCAACCAACAGCCGGACATGGTGGTGCATGCCTTTAATACCAGCACTCAGGAGGCCAGAGGCAGGCAGATCTCTGTGAGTTCCTGGTCTACACAGTGAGTTCAGGGACAGCTGGAGCTACAGGAGACCTTGTCTCAAAAAGCCAGAAAAAAAAAAAAAAATCAACCAATGAAAGGATGAACAAACAAATCAGACCTGCTCTCTCTAGAATGCCTTTGGCAATGTAATTAAACACAGATCTTCCCCTGACTCCCTCAAAACCCATAGAACAGAACAAATGGAAATTATATTCATTTTAGAGATAAAGAAATTGAGGTTTAGAAAGGTAAACAGTCATCCAAAATTCACACTAATGCAAAGTTCACAGAGCTGCAATTGGAACTCAGGTCTTTCAACTCCAGAGTCTGTGCTCTGATACTCCACCCTCTTTGATCTCAACTAGGCATGAATTTCTTCTTTCTTTCTTTGAGAAGGGGTCTCCCTGTAGCTCCAGTTGGCCTGGAACTCACTATGTAAACCAGGCTGTCCTCAATCTCAAACATTCACCTGCCTCTGTCTCCCAAATGCTAGGATTAAAGGTCTGCACATACATGGCTAGGCATGAATTTCTTAAGCATATTTGCCTTTTATAATAATTTCAGTGCTTTTGAAGAACTTGTTCACCCCATATGCTAATGAGTAAACCCTAAGCTCTACTCATAGATAACTCCTCACCAATGACACCAAAATGGACATAAAAAGAGACCGCCAGCAGAATGCCCTCAGGAATGCACTGGCATGCTCCACTGGCATGCTCCCAAGACACAGCGCCAAGACCTTACTGATGCACCCACCGGCATAAGAGGCTCTTGAAGGCCACTGTGTGGCTCTGGCTCTGGCAACCATTGATCATCTAGCACCTTTGCTGAGACAAGCCCACCTGACAGGTAAAGACCTGCCTGTCTGTCACTCTCAAAGACCTTCCAGACCTCCTGGACCTGCGTACCTTCCTTGGATCCACTGGCCCAGCATCTTGGAGCTTTGGCTTGAGCCTTGCTCTCACAAATGTGTCCAGCTGTCTCCCACCTGCATACCCTCCTGGTTTACTAAGCATGAATTTGATTGTGACTTGTCACGTGTTTGAATTCTTATTAACAGACTTAAGCATGTGTGAAAGGCAAAAAAAAAATCTGTTGGAGGGACTGGAGAGATGGCTTAGCAGTTAAGAGCACTGAGTGCTCTTACAGAGGACCCAGGTTCAATTGCCAGTACCCATATGGCGGTTAACAACCATCTGTAACCCCAGTTCCAGGGGATCCGATGCCTTCTTTTGACCTCTGAGGGCACTGCATGACACAGGTGCACTTACACCTTACAGGCATGTGGGCAATACACTCATACACATTTAAAAAAGAAATCTGTTGGAGTGAAGAGAAAAACAAAGCCATCCACAAGGCCATAGTAAAGAATAAACCATGTTTACTATGCCTTTAGAAAAAAATATAATAATAATTTCAGTGCACAGGGACACAGCCATGTACAAAGTACTGATCAGTGAAAGTAAGCTGAATGAAAGATGAACTAAGGTTCATCTAAAGGTTGCCATTAAAGAATTAAACATAGAATTTTATGTTTTAATGTTGTCTTGTTTTTGAGACAGGGTCTCCCTGTAGCCAGAGCTGGCCTGAAACTCACTATATAGATCAGACTGGACTCAATCTCAGAGATCCTCCTCCCTCTGCCTCCCCAATGTTGAGATTAAAGGCATATGACACCATGCCCGACATGTTTTAATTTTTTTTTTTTTTTTTTTTTATTATTATGTGTATGCATGTATTGCCTGCATGTAGGTAAGTGCACCCATGTCGTGCAATGCCCGCGGAGGTCAGAAGAGGCTGTCGGGTACCCTGGGACTGGAGTTACGGACAGTTGTTAGCTGCCATGTGGGTGCTGGGATTCGAACCCAGGTCTTCTGCAAGAACAACCAGTGTTCTTAACCGCTGAGCCATCTCTCCAGCCCCTCAGGTTTTTGTTTTGTTTTTTTTAATTTTACTTATTTTTTTTTAATGTGTATGAGTAGTGTATTTTCTGCATGTTCAGTGCACCTGTGTCATGCAATGCCCGTGGAAATCACAAGAGGGCATTGGATTTCTCTGGAACTAGAGTTACAAAGAGTCGTTAGCTCTCATGTGGATCCTCTGCAAGAGCAGCCAGTGCTCTTTAAGTACTAAATTATCTCTCCAGCCCCCATGTTTTAATTTTTCATGAGCATCAATAATTGGGTTCTGTTTAAACTGAAGATCCCTGAAGGAAGGGATCACAGACCCCCAAGGGCTTGACACATAACAAGCACTTGATCAAATCAATGAGCTACCACACTGATTTGTGAGTCTCTACGAAGAGGAAAGCAACCTCCTCAGCTCCCTACTGGACTAGTCACTTAGGTTCCAGAATAGGTCCTGTCATCATCACCATCAGATCTTAAAACACAATTTCTGAGCCAGGTATAGTGGCCTATGCCTATAATCTCAGCACTCAGGAGGCAGATTGAGTCCAGCCTAAGCTACATAGTTGGTTCCAAGTCAGCCTAATCTACAGAGTGAAAGCTTATCTCAGGAGTAAAAACAAAGCTGCAGATGCTCCCCAGGAAACAAGAGCTACAGTCTGTTTCCTTTAATACAATCCCTTAGTCTAGAGCAGACTCCTAACAGTCACTCTCCGTGGTGATGAAACATACCAGGCCCTGACAAACACACACTCTCCACCCTAATTCACTGTGTACTTTACTCCTACTAGGAGGAACAGCCCATCAGGGTATGAAGAAACATACCAAACAATGACTGACTTTTCATAAGGACAACAGCTCAACTGGGAACAAGCTCACAATGAGCAAGTACAGTCCCCAAAAGTACACTTTTCCTGTTTCCTCCCTGAACTCCCCCAGATACCAGATGAATCTAGATTCCCAGAGCACAGTCATTGTCCATTAACAGGACTAAGTCTCTCTACTAGTCCCAAAATATGCTAAGTGACCTTAATGCTCCCCAAGAAACACAAACATGGTACAGCAATATTAGGGTAGCAAAAAAAATTCTTTACAGTAGGAAAGCCACATGCCACCCTCACTACATTCTAAGTATTTCCATCTCTACCACCATTCATGCATAATAACCAGAAATTCAAGGCTAGCCTGTGAGACTCTGTCTCAGAATCAACAAAAACAAAAACAGAAAAAACTTATAGGAATATCCATACTGGGGTTTTATTTTGCTTTTGTTCTGACACAGGCTTTCTATGGAACTCTTAGGCTATGTGGAACTTTTTGTTTGTTTTGTTCCTTGAGACAGGGTGTTCCTGTAGTCCCAACTGGCCTGGAACTTGCTATATAGACCAAGCTGGCCTCCATCTCACAGAGATCCACCTGCCTCTGCCTCCCAAGTGCTGAGCTGCATGGAACTCTAGATCCTCCTGCCTCACCATTTCTAGTGCTAGGATTAGAAGCTTGTGCCACCACACTTATGTAACATGCCAAATTCTAGAACCTGCTGCTTTACACACTATGCCACATCTCTCCATACTTCCAAATCCTTCCTGATCTTTGAAGTCCTTCACTAGTCTAGCAATACTATCCTAGAGACAAAAAAATACCAACAGGCCCATGGCACCCAAACTCTCCTCAGTCTTAGGCACTGTTTAATCTCTTCAGGAAGACTGCTATCATAGGCTCTCCCACTCACTTGTCCCCTCCAAGGCAGTATTGTCTGTCCCGACATTCCCCAATGACTCCTGGGATAGTCAAGTTCAATGAAGACTTTCACATCTACATCTTCTACCACCCAAACTACAGAGTATAAGTACCTCATCACATATAACCAGTCCAACACTTCCTTTTTGAAGGACTCCAACATGAAGGCGGAGAGTCTCATAGGAAATGATGAGGATGGGAGCAGGCACTCTAGCTCCACGCTGGTTCATGAATCCTTCTACAACAGAAAGGTGTCAGGGAACAAATCAGAACACCCAAAAGAGAAAATGTCGGACAGTTGTTTAGCATGATCTGGAAACACTGTCTATATTTCAGCTATTTTAATAACAATTTTCCCATTTGCCCCATGCTGCCCACAATACTGGCCACAAGGGAGCACACTAATAAGAAACCTGGGGAGAAGAGTAGAGCCATGTTTGTTAAGGTTCCATACCCAGCTTTCGGTCTATCTCATCCTTGGATCCTCCATCGATGGCCAGAGGCTGGATCCTCCCTCCAAGCCATTTCCCAACCTCATTGTACCAGTTCTTCACCAGGCTGGAAGGCGACACCACCACTGCTTTGTCAATTTCTGGCTTGCACTCTGGACTCTGGCGCAAAAGTGTCCACATCAATGTGATGCACTGTAGTGTTTTTCCCAGACCCATCTCATCAGCCATGATACATCCATAGCTGCCAGGGATACGGCGACTGGTGACACACTCCCACAGGAACTTCACTCCCTGGTGAATAACGGCATTCAGTCTTTGGCACCTACTTAGCCTCTAGCCAACACCTCATTCCCCTCACCCTCATTACCTCTCTCTGATGAGGCCGCAACACCTTACTGAGAATAGGATCAACAACCACGTGGACAGGAAGTTTTTCCCTGAGAAAACAGAGTATGCGTGTCAGACTCAGACAAGGTCACACTCTAAGGAAGTGGCATCCTGCCAATCCAGAGGCCAGAAAGGCAGCTGCCTGAGACAGTACTTTCTTGGGCACGTAATAAACCACAGCAAGGTCCCGCTCTAGAAGTCATAAGGTAAGGAAGGGTGACGGATTCCCTCTGTACTCCCTTGATCACTTCCCTCTCCCCAGTGAGCATGGCAAGAGGGAGTGTGGACCTCACGGGATTACATGCTCTCCCCCAGGTTATCTCCGACCCAACCATTTACTGTCTGGATAGTCACAGTCATGATAGCTCTGACAACCTATACCAATCACAAAGAGAAATCATACCAAAATGCCCTCTGAGGCACATACACTAATAATGGACCAGAACCGTTCAAGAAATACCAATGTGCATACTTGTCGAGCTTCAGCTGGTCATGGACACTCAGTGGAGGAGGCTCATACAGAACTAAGGCACCTTCTTCCAGAGGGTCATGGAGGGCACGACGGACACCAGCTCTTTTCAGGCCCAATGCTCGCGAGCCCAGAGGACCTAGAAATCAACAACCAATCTATCAGCTAAGCCTCTATATTCAGGAAGTCCAGGATGCCCAGCTCAAATACTCATCCTTCAGATAACCTTTCAGAGCTACCATATGACCCTCTCTCTTAGAACTCCTTCAAACCAGTCAGGTACCTCTACCCGGCCATTATTCCTTCAACTCTCGATCAGAGTTTTTCCTATTTTATTTCTCCCATTCAACTACAAACTTCTGGAAGGAGGGCTGTACCATGCTCATCTCAAATCAATTGTGGCAAGGTCTGAGACTCAACAGAGGCCTTTCAAATAGGAGAACTTAAGTGCTGGTCGCTTCCCTCCCTGACCCCTAGTTCACGTACAACACAGCATTCTAAACAGGACAAGGGAAAACCATAGAAACCAGGCCTCCTGCAGTCAGCCTCAGAAAGGAGGTAACATGGAACATGCTTGGACTGAATGAAGGAAGCCCAGGATTATTAGCCACCTTGGCCCACCAGAAGCTTATTGACCTGATATACCTCCACCAAGATGAGGTGAAATTATTCTTGGAAGTTCTTGATAAAACTGTAGCTTTCCCTGCCGGGTGTGGTGGTGCACGCCTTTAATCCCAGCACTCAGGAGGCAGAGGCAGGCAGATCTCTGTGAGTTCAAGGCAGACAGCTGGGGCTACAGGGAGACCCTGTCTCAAAAAGACTGAAAAAAACAAAACAAAAAACTATAGCTTTCACATAGGCCTCAGGAGGATCACACCAAACACAGACACCACTGGATAACATCTTTAATTCCCAGCTTTGCTTGTGTTTGTTTTTTTAAATATTTTTATGTGCATGCATGTATTGCCTGCATGTAGGTAAGTGCACCCATGTCATGCAATGCCCGAGGAGGACAGAAGAGGCCGTCAGATCCCCTGGAACTGGAGTTACAAACAGTTGTTAGCTGCCATGTGGGTGCTGGGATTTGAACGCAGGTCTTCTGCAAGAACAATTAGTGTTCTTAACTGCTGAGCCATCTCTCTAGCCCCTGCTTGTGTTTATAAAGACAGAAATCTTTAATCTCAGGCACATGCACATATGACTGATTCAAAAACCTGAAGTCTTGTCAAGTATATTGCACATCTGAAATCTCATCATTCAGGAAGCTGAAGCAGGAGGAGTGCTATGACTTTGAAGCCAGTCTGACCCACATTAACAAGCGCTTGTCTGAAAACAAACGAACAAGAAAACCTGTAAAATCTCCATTTTACCTTGATAATTTGGGATGGGGATCTTGAAAGGCTTTGACAAAATGCTTCGAATAAATGCTTCCTAAAAAGAAAGGAAAAGTAGGAAGGTGTTGTATGCAGATATTCTTACATTTCTTCAAGTTTTATACTCCCTTTTTTTCATGTAAAGTTCTATATAATTCCCACCCAGTCAACCAGAAGACTCAGAATTCATTGCATATAGATCGTATCAGTGAAGACACCTGCTCTTCCCTAGGGCACAGTATCTTGAGAAGCAAGTGGGTATATTCAGTGGGTACTAATATAGAACTATACTGTCTGGTTTTAAACACTACCATGCAGGGCTCTATCTTCTCAAATATATCTCACAATTGTTTTTGTGCTTGTTTAGTTTAAAATTAATTTTTATTTTATGTGTATGAGTGTTTGCCTGTGTGTATGTTAAGTGCATCCATGTCCTGCAATGCCCGAAGAGGCCAGAAGAGGGCACTGGATCCCCTGGAATTGGAGTTAAGGATGGTTGTTAGCCATGCTGGGAACCAAACCTAGGTCCTCTGCAAGAGCAGCCAGTGCCATCTCTCCAGCCTGGGCTTGTTTATTTTTGATGTTAGAGATTAAAACCAGGGGCTCTTGCATACCAGCCACACACTCTACCACTCAGCTAAACCCCCAGTCCACAATATATTTTTTACTGTTTGAGTTCTGTCCATTGCATTTAATTTTCATATACATATGATAAATCCATATCAACCTCCTTAAGAACTAAACAGCTCCAAGATTAGTAATAGTGGAAGTAATACAAACAGTAGTAATAAGTAAAAGGATACTCTTTCTCACTAGGTAGTACTCTTACCTTAACAACAAAATTTCCTTTGATCTTTGATCTCTCCTCTCCACAGGCAAACTTCCAGAAAGAACTGTCTCCCTTCCTTATATCCTACTCCCATCTGTCTTCTAACCCTGTCAGGCCTCTAAAATGACTCTGCTCAAGGTCATGACCTGTCTGTCAATGGACATGATTCCATTCTTTAACAAAGCTGGTCATTCTGTCTTCACAAATATGCTTTGCCCTGACTTTGTTGACACCATCCTCCCACTATTCCACTTCTCTAGAATCTCACGTTCAGTGTTTCGTCCTCTGCCTAATCCCCTTCAGTGGTCCAGCCAGGTGTGGTGGCACATGCCTTTGATCTCAGGAGACAGGAGCAGGCAGCTCTCTGTAAGTTTGAGGCCAGCCTGGTCAATGTAGTAAGTTCCAGAACCAGGCCAGCTGGGGCTTTACAGTGAGACCCTGCCTCAAAAAAACAAAAACAAAAAAGGGCTATATAGTGAGACCCTGTCTAGAAAAGTAAGAGTTTCAGGAATCAAATTCCAGCATATAACTTATAGTGATTGGAAACAAATCTGTTAAACTTTTCTGAACAATGTCATCATAATTTTTTTGGTCTTTTTGAGCCAGGGTCTCTCTGTAGCCCCAGCTGGCCTGGAACTTGCAATATACACCAGGCTGGCCTCAAACTCACAGAGATCCACCTGCCTCTGCCTCTCAAGTGCTGGGATTAAAGGCATGCACCACCACACCCAGCTCCAATGAGCTATTTAAAAAAAAAAAAAAAAAATCAAAACATTCTGTGGACCCCTAAAGTATATCACAGGCCCTGTGACTAAGGTGTCCATTTACCTCTCCCCATCAAATGCTGCTCTTTCTTTCTGCTTTCTATTGTAGTAAATGGGGTCATCATTCATGTACTTTGCCTCTGTGTCTGAAATCTCAACTTCATTGACAAGCTGCTCTCTCCTTTCATGTAGTCAATCCAAAGTCACTTTTTTTTCATTATTTAGAGAATACTTTATTAGTTTCTATAACCAAACTCGTGTAGATAAGACTTTACATATTTAATACAGTGCATTACCCCTGTACAAATGGAAAAAAAGTTTAACATTTCTAGACCAATATGGCTATTAATTTCTGTACAATGCCAACTCAGCACAGTAAACTGGGATAGTTTTTTCCAAAGTTGACAGAACACCTAAAGCTTTCAAAAAATTCAATTATATATGTGTATATATACATATATTTATATTTATATAGAAAGACAAATAATAGCAGTATGTGATGCATCAATAGCAGCAACAGCTTTTCCAGGTTCTGCAGTCATTTGAACAAAATTGTGGAGACATCCAGCAATAAATAAAATAAAAAACAAAATCCCAGAAAACAGCACAGTTCTGTTACTGGTGTGGTACCTGGCACCATTTTTTTTATTAGCCTTTCAATCATCACCTAAAAAGAAAACATTCTGAATAATATCATTAAAAACAGCTCTGATAGGCCGGGTATGGTGGCACATGCTTTTATTCCCAGCACTCAGGAGGCAGAGGCAGGCGGGTCTCTCAAGGCCAGCCTGGTCTACATAGCGAGTTCCAGGACAGCTGGAGCTATAGGGAGACCCTGTCTCGAAAAGACCAAAAAAAAAAAAAAAAGGCTCTGATAAAGCATGGTCACTACATGACATGTCACTTATAACTCTTAAGTACCTCTGAAATTTGCCTACTTTTTCCCATTCCATACTTTTTTTTTATTTTATGTGTATGAGTGTATTGCCTGCATGTATGTAAGTGTACCCATGTCATGCAATGTCCACAGAAGTCAGAAGAGGGCGTCAGAGCCCCTGGAACTGGAGTTATGGACAGCTGTCAGCCATGTGGGTGCTGGGAACTGAACCTATGTCCCTCCAGGCCCACATTCCTCACTCTAACACCCAACTCCAGTCGACATCTTTTCCTGTCTTGCTACCTGCAAGACGCTTTTCACAGCTTTTCTACCTCCATTCCTCATCCAAATGGATTTCCTACACTACCTTGTATCTCCTACCCCCACTTAAAACATATCAAAAGTCCTCAGTAGCCTCAGAATAAAGCCCAAATTCTCACAAAGGCTCTCTAATCCTGGCTTCTGCACAGCTCTCCAGCTATTGTCTCCCTCAACCTTCTCCCAACTCCCACACTTGCAAATGACCCAGGAATGCGAATCCTTTTTCAGCAGCTGCCCTAAACTCTTGTTGCCAGGCCTTCCTGCAGGCTTCTCATCTACAATCTCTTATTCCCTTCATCTGACTAACCCTTCAGAACCATCAGAGATTAATTTAGCATGCCATTGGAATTTAGGTCATTCCCCGACTCTACACTGTTAAGTCTCCTGTTGGTGTATATTCCTACCACAGCTGCACTTAAATCACATTCATGAGACACCTTGAACAAAGCTTAAATGAAAAAAATCCTAGAGGATTAAAGATCATTTTAACACTTTTTTTTTTCTTGGTCTTTTTCAAACAGGGTCTCCCTGTAGCCCCAGCTGGCTTGGAACTCACTATGTAGACCAGGCTGGGCTTGAACTCACAGAAATCCGCCAGCCTCTGCCTCCCAAATGCTGGGACTACAGGTGTGCACCACCACGCCTGGCTTAACACATTTTTTTATAACAACAACAACAAAAATAAAATGCACTATTTAGTGAATTAGATACATAAGGCAAACTATCACAAAAAAGCAAGAGATGGTAAACACAGTTCAGGATAGTGGTCACTTCTGTAATAAGGGAAGGAATTAGAGATTTCATAATGTTCTAGTGCCAGATGGTGGGTTTACAGGTGTTTATTTTGTTCTATAATATATATATATACATAT